CTGATTGAGTCATTCATTGAACCAGTTTTGTGATCATTTCTCATCGTCTTTTCTGTGTTTGTAAAGATATCGCAGCATTCAGAATTGTTTTACAAGAAACTAAGCGAATATTATGAGAGTGTGAATAAGAAAAACCATGGATTACAAATGAGTTGAAGGAGATAAGTTAATTTTTATATACTAAGTGACATATAAATCCGAACACCCAGTTTAAATGGTTTTATTTTAATAAAATTTTGTATAAGTACTTAATGGTGGCATTCTGCCTACTTTTGTATCAAAATTTATTCTTTTTGATTCAGATACATGGTGCTGAATACAAATAGAAATATATTCCAACACTTTTTGTAAGGCTTACGAGAGGAAATCATAAAATAATATCCCCAATACCTTTCGGCATGCTTATTACTTTAATTTTGAGTAAAGAAACTCATGATATAATGTTGGCCGGCATTCAGAGGGCCTGCGGCATACTTGAAGGGTATTTTTCGGCACATGATCTCAGTCTCAATGTGCCTAAAACCCAGTGTATTTTATTTTATTTCTTTTTCTTATGAAAATACAGATATTGGGTCAGCAGAAAGCATTTATTTTCTGGGTGTTAGGACTGACAGGCGACTGGACTGGGGGACGCACGTTGAGGATGTTGCATTTGGTGTCTCTAGGTATTGCTATGCATTGAGAGTGATTAGGAATGATGTTGGTTTCGACGCTGCCCTATCGGCATACCACTCGTTTATTTAGTTAAATAAGGTCTGATCTTTTGGGGCAGCTCGCGGGATATAAACACGGTTTTGATCCTTCAAAAAACAATTCATAAGGACCCTAGTTAAAATCAAACAAATGGAAAGTTGCAAAGAAATCTTCATAAGTAAAAAAATACTAACTGTTGTTTCTCTTTATATACTAAGTGACATATAAATCCGAACACCCAATTTAAATGGTTTTATTTTAATAAAATTTTGTATAAGTACTTAATGAAGCATAATAAGTAAATAATAAAAATTTCAAAATGATTGCACTGCTTTAAAGCCCTTTGACCTTTAATAATGTGTGGATGCACCCTGATGTGCTACGCATTCTCCAACGCGCCTAGGCATGCTTCTGATCAGGTGGTCAATGTCCTCCTGTGGTATCTCATTCCAGGCAACCACCAACTCCTCTCGAAGTGCTTCTAGAGTCTGAGGAGGACGTTGCAAATTGAGCAATCTCCTACCCATCATATCCCACACGTGCTCAATTGGGGATAAGTCGAAAGATCTTGGTGGCCATGGTAACAATGTGACATCATTATGTTGAAAGAAGTCTATTGTGACTCTTGCAACATGTGGTCGGGCATTATCTTGTTGGAAAGTTGGATCTGCCAGGGTGTCAAGATAGGGTAAAAGATGGGGTTCTAGAACTTCGTGGATATAACGCTGCGCGTTCATGTTACCTCTGATGAAGATTAAAGGTGACCTGGAACCATAAGCTATAGCACCCCAAACCATAACTCCAGCAGTGTGATGAACATGTCTTTCAACAAAAAACTGTGGATTCCTCCTTTCACTACGTCGCCTTTTAACCCTGGCACGACCATCGTGCATGCCTAAACAAAATCGAGACTCGTCACTAAAGACAATACTGTTCCATTCCTGATCCCAGAGTGACCGTTGTGTGCACCACTCAAGGCGATTACGTCGGTGTTCTCGAGTTAAAGGGAGGACCCAGTGTGGCCGGTATGAAAACATACCCAAAACTTCTCATTCGCCGGTAAATACTTCGCATGCCAATAGGTCCTCCGTGTTCTGCAAACCATTCATTTGCAATGGACCTGGTAGTGGAGAAACGGTCTCTTAAGGCCAATAATCTTAGGCGGCGATCTTCACGGTCTGTTGTTCTACGGCGGCGTCCAGTGCCCCTTGCTCCCTGCGTACGGCCTTCTCGAAGCCATGCCTGACAAAACCTAACCACAGTGTGTACACTTCTTTGCACTCTAACTGCAATTGCCCGAAAAGAAAGTCCAGCTTCCCGAAGTCCCACTATACGGCCTCTATCAAACTCACTAAGTTGACGAAATCGTACAGGTCTCCGTCCTCTAGGCATCGTAACCGATCGTAAAGGATGTCAAGAAACAAAATTCGCCAACGTTGATTCTTTACTGCGGCTGAAATATTCATTTTTAGAGCGTTAGTGAATTAAAAAAAAGCAGTATAAAAACCGGAATGTCCAACTGATATGGCTGAAAATTTGTTCACTTGTTATTTACAGTAGGATAAATACATTCACCAACTTTTATTAAAATAAAACCATTTAAACTGGGTGTTCGGATTTATATGTCACTTAGTATACATATAGTGATATTGGTACATCGTCATACTCCTTCCTGGGCGTGATGGGTGACCTAAAATGCAAGAAAAACTCCCATTTATATGTGTGCTCGAAATCCGATAATTTTCGAGGTTTTTTGATTTTTGTGATTTTTTTAGCTATCACCCAAAAATGAGCTTGTGAGTCTAAATGAGAATAAACATCTGTAATAATTCACTTGGTTTTCTTAGTTTATATTTAAATTTAGAATGATCTAATACTGTAATAAAAGGTACAAATATACTTCACTCATTAAAATAGCAGCTATTCCGAAACGTAAAATAGTTTTCGATGACAGTTCCCCGTAGAAGAAAGCTGTGCCTAGATCTGAAAATTGTTACTACATTGAGCCTACAAATTGCTAGAAAAATGTTAGTTATCCGTATAGTCAGCTTTCCAAACAGGTACGACACATCTATGAGTGCATTTAGAATTAACAAGACAATCAAACAGATTTAGGGCAAATCGTCATTTGACTCATACATCCAATACCTATTTCAAATTAATGTATTTATTTTTCAAAAATCTTCGTCAATATGTATGGCTGTAGTAGCTCAAGCATAAACTACGAAAAATTACTGATTTCTTCCGCAAGTCATTTTTATTATTTTTATTCTTAACACCTAAATGCCCATTATGGGTGATTGTTAAAATCACAAAAGTGGAAAAGTCTGTAAATCTATGGATTTTCGGCGATACATATGTGCAAATTTGATCCTCATCACTCAGATCTCGGAAACGATAAGAGATACGCTTAAAAGTTGCTGATTAGAAATTTTCAAAATTCAAAGTACTTCCGAAGAGAGACAGGAAAAAATGCTCATTAACAAGATGGTATAATTAGAATTTCAATATGACGTTTCGCCTCGTGTCCCCCAGCATCAACTTTATTTTATATTATGGACATCATATTGGACTTTTGTGCAGATAAATATAGTTGTTTATTCTGATTTCAAAAATCTATGATATGTCATACATTGAAATTGCCAAACGTTAGTTATTCCAGAAAAAGAAGTTCCTAGGTAGGTCTTGAAATTATCAGATAGTCATTTGTTTCGTATACCAGACCAGACCTCAAATGGAACTTAGTAACAGAGTTTATAAGGATGAGAGGAAGGGAAATAAAGTAGTGAGCAATGTACAGAGAACAGTCAGGCTTTGCTTACAAAATAACTTACAACACTGCAAACATCTGCTATGACTTACGTTTATTATAATTACCATCAATAAAACATTCATTTTATGTGCAGTTCCTACCATACATATTGATTTCCCTATAATTTTCATCCTACAACAAATTGATGGCCAACTAAGGAAATACATCACTGAATTTAGGATTCGAGCTTTCCTAGCATTTTTACCAGCAGACATTATGGAGCAGTGGATGGTTGAAAAATATGATCATATATATAAATAAAATTGGTTGGCTGACTGTGGAAAGAAAACTACTCTACTATGTCTATCTTACATTTATATATGAATTACTTCCACCCTACCATATTCATTTGAAAAACTTACACTATCTAAAGTTAAATCAAAGAGATATAACTTGAGCATATCTCGTCACCAATCATCCATTCGACACTATTTCAGAAAAGATGCCTTTGTCTTGAGGATACTGATTTTGATTATGTGTATTACATTTTTCTGAATTCTTGTATAATGTACATTTTAAATATACAAATAACCTTTGGCTAAATTTCGCCCATCATAAAGCCGGTATATTACTTTTATTATTGTATGAACCCGCAAATACGTAGGTACATTTATCCCAACAAACCATGGAACTGGTATTTCTCGACCTGGCAACATTGCTGGTAGCTGTCAGAATCATCTAACGTAACCGTCATTTGCAGTTTTTGTTTTGGTTTATAGCTCTTCTGCGCATGTCAGGTCCTTTAGTTCTCGCTTCAGTGCAGGTACCGATATCACCATAACAAAACCGTCCCAAAACGGGTTGGAACACAATGCAGAATCGTTCTGTTACTGTGACGGACAAGGTTGGAACACTTTTTCCTAAATGCGCAAGCGCGTCATCGTTCCAGCACGGATCTACGACGAGTTGGAACAAAGCTTTTGAAATCCTATCTCAAATAAAGTCAGGAAAAAATAAACATGAGTTTGAGATACATAAATATGATATGCGAAACAAATGACTATCTGATAATTGCAGCGCCTACCTAGAAAACTCTGCTTTTTTGAAATAAGTAAGGTATGGCAATGCCATTGTTTGACGTGTTATACATTTTTGGAATAAGTATTAAGTGCTCTATTCATCTGTGCAAAAATTCAATATGGCATCCACAATAAAAAGTAAAATTGATGCTGGGGAACAAGTGGCAATGTCAATGTACTTAGTAACCCACTACAAATCAAGTCAGGAAAAAATTAAAACGATTTGTGGAAAATCTGGTTTTTTCCGTCTCTCTCCGGGATCCCAATGGTAAGGGTCGTATTTGAAATACCCAGAATAGGGCGAATTTTTTGCATTTTGGGTCCCCTATCACGCGACTAAGGCATACTGGGAATTATCAATTACCCTTCTTGGCAACACTTCTTGTAAATTTGCTAAATATAAATCAAGAGCTTTTGTCTATCTCAAATGTAATGCTTGCAGCAGTCCCACATATATTTTATAAACTGATTCCAAACAGGATTTTAGTTAGATTAGCCTAACATTACTGAACTAATGTTATTAACAAGCTATCTCTTTTTATAAACAAGTACAATTCTTAGCACACGTTCAGTATCGTGTGTGCCTCGATCCGTGACCACTCGTACGCATACACAATATCTTCAGCCTTCTGTTAACGTAGAAGAATTTCCAGTTTGGTGGCTTCAAGAACCAGTGCCAAAATGATGCCTGCTTACGCCAAAACAGCGTTTAGTGCTTTAGCCGTATATTTCACTATTACCTGTAAGTATGCAAAGCTCTTTTGTTTATTAGGCCACAAGAACTTTCCGGATCACTATTAGCATTTATGTGTTCAAATAATAAATCACGTCAAGCAGCTGGACTCAGAGCTTTCCACCATGAGGACGTATCTAGGTACCATTGAATAAATTAGACTTATTAGATCCCAATATCTATAAAATCCGATCGTACTTTATCTTTAAGCTAGTATCAGTATAAACTGTATTTATCGCTTCCTGATCGTCAGAATCTCCTTCTTCGCTTGAACCTACAGAGTAAGCCTACAAATTTTGGAGGGTGATTAAACGTGGCACACTTGAAAACACCTCACAACGTCAAACAGCATTTTGTTTTCTTTCCGCGGATAGCTAGTTTAAAAATACATCACAATTATTTTTGCGATTACAATATCTTTTGTGGTAAATCAGGCTTGCCAGCCAAACATGGATCTTGCTTCAGAAAAAAATGATATACAGATTTTACAAATAAGTTTTTGCTAAGGGCGAATGAAGGAGCTTTTCATCCAGTGGTACAAGTTTGCTGGTAAACTCTTTTATGAAACTTTTTCAAGCCGTAAAGTCTTGTTGAAAATGATTAAGAGGAAAGTTGTTAAAAATTAAAAAACCTTCAAAATGATATCTCATACTCAAATATCCAGCGGGTACGCTGTGAGACAGCTCGTTAAAAATACTGCTTAACCTCATAAATGTTAGTGATAGTTTCAAATGCGTACAATACGAAGGCATTTTTTGATAAGGAAATCGTATATATTTTTTAGATGTTATATGACACATACAGCATGACATACGATGTCATTAATTTTTGTCAGATGGTCCGTCGGTCATTTTGACCTTGACGATTCACAGGCTTATGAGCATTATCAGAAAAAAATTGCGGGGTTTGACAATTGGGGGTTGGGGGTATATCTCATTTTGTTAGCGGCAATACATATATACGTTTCCACCCCTAGTTTCACGCACCTGTCAGTATATATTTGTTACATCAAATATTTCACCGTACATTTGCCCTTATAACATATTTATCGAGGCGACAAGCGGTCGGGGACGATGTGATACAATGGTGACTTTTATAAATCGAACCCTGTCTTGGGTCTGACAGCATCGCCGTCAAGACTTAGGGATGTTATAGTATCGTTGCTAGCGCTTATGACGTGTTTGACTGGTGTGGTCCAGCAGCGTTGCCAGATCGTCGATACTAACGACAGGAAAGAAACTAACGTTATCGCATTATCAAATGAATGAAGACCATGGAGTATGTACTAATTGTATATCGGGCTATTTGTCTGGCTTGGCCCATTCCATTTTTTTGTTATACATTTTTGTGTGAAGAGACTAGCTTGGGCCAATCACAATCCTTTATGAAGTGATGATAGAGATGCGTGGGCAGTGAAGAGTCAACTTACTCGACGCCATTTTTGCAATTGCACATTAATCGACATAGCAAATGCAACATATATATGAAATCTCATTTTGAAGTCATTTTTATTCCGCACAACTTCTTGCTCAACTGCTTTTATCAATACTTTTTGAACATACGGGGACATTTTTTTGTATCCCTGGATGGTGGATCTTTCTATTTGTTCTAAACAACGTAATTTCTTTACAGTATTGGTCATTGCAATTTTTTTGATACTCTGGGTATCCTGGTCATGGTCGTCGATCCTGGTCTAAATTGATTACCAATAATGTCTAATATCTAGAACAAGTGAGATTTATACAATGTTGACATTTTATTATTTTATCAGAAAATTAGTCAGCAATATTTTTCGTATCCGTAGATGGAGGAGCTTGTTATTTATCCTCAAGAACGTAGGTAATTTCATTGTAAAATCTGCTCAAACAATGTATTACCAATAATGTGTGATGTCTAGAACTATTAAAGTTTATAGAATGTTATTTATAGATGGTAACTTGATAGTCAGGTATAGGTGCAAATTTGGTAATAATATATAATAAGGTGACAATTAAGTCTAGACATCCAAAGCAGGTCTAATGAAAATTAAATCATTGGTAGGTTTGCATAGATTCATAGATAAAATCTGGAATTAGGTTGGGCTCAACTAGTAGTACTTTTCTTGGTACATAGGTACTATGTCAGGCTATCAGCTTTTACATTTTGTTTAACTTAACTGGCACCAAGCATAAGCACCAAGATTTCCCAAGAATATTCATGAATTCCATAATACGGAGCAAAAATATTGTGCGTTTTCCGTTTGGTATTTCCTAAAAGGCTCATACTATACTGTTAAGAGACCATGTAAACAATGTGCAAGATATATAAAAGTGTCATAAGAATTTGTACAGAAGCCTTGCATAATTTGTTATGAAATTGACGGTCCTCGCACCCAGCTGTTTTCGACTGAAAGGTCGAGATCTATGTATCTAAATATTGATAATAGATATATGCATATTATGCAGAAACTAGCTCTTAACAAAGAACCTGATTGGTCATTAATGGAAAGTTGAACATTAGAAAAACCTAAGCACTGCATACAATTATTAGCAAGAATTTCAGAAAATGCATAATAACTACAGTGTTTGCCGAAAGTTCTAGGTATATTCAAATAATGTCTGAATATCAACATTTTCGGCTTTATATTGCTGTTCCCTATCAGAAAGGTGATGATAATGGCTTTTATTATGAATTTGTCGAAAATTTCTAAGCAACTTTTGAATAAGAGATGCTTGACCAGTCTTTTTGAAGAAACTTTGGAATAAATCTGTTAGGTGAAAACTTAAGCCTTTTCCTAAGTGCCGTATCGTCAACTGTTCCTACAACAACTGTAGGACGCCTTTCTGGCCTCCTTGATTGTCATAGTAAAGGGTGTTTTTTTTAGAGGCGGAGAACTTTCATTTGGCAACACTGTTTTGTGTGACAGCCGATCTGACAGTTCTGGGTTGTTTTTAGGTTAGTTTGGTTTGGCAATTCATCATGAATAGACTGACGCCGGAGCAACGTTTGCAAATTGTTCAAATTTATTTTGAAAGACATGGTTCAATTCGAGAAACACATCGGGCATTACGTGAATTTTATGGTGCCCATAATCGTCCTTCAGAGCGATTAATTCGAGAAACTGTTGATCGTTTTCGCAATACTTTTACTCTAATCGACAATACGCATCCCGTAAGACGCCGTACAGTGCGCACGCAACAAGCGATAGCTGCTGTGCAGCGTAGTGTTGATAATGATGCCAATGTGTCAATTCGTCGTCGTTCTCAACAAGTGAATTTGTGTCCATCCACTGTATGGAAAATTTTGCGCAAAGATCTTGGGTTGCGAGCATATAAAATTCAACTAGTCCAGGAGTTGAAACCCCGGGATCATCTATTGCGCCGTACATTAGCTGAATGGGCGGAAGGAAAGATTGCTGTTGATCCAAGATTTCATATGAAAATTTTGTTTAGTGATGAAGCACACTTTTGGTTAAATGGCTATGTAAACAAACAAAATTGCCGAATTTGGGGTGATGAGAATCCACGAGCTATTGTCGAAACACCTTTACATCCAGCAAAACTAACCGTTTGGTGCGCTTTATGGGCCGGTGGAATCATTGGTCCTTATGTCTTCAGAAATGCTGATGGTCAGAACGTTACAGTAAACGGTGAGCGATACAGAAACATGATTACTAACTTTTTTGTGCCTCACTTGGAAGGTGTTGCAGGCGTTGCAGAAATGTGGTTTCAGCACGACGGTGCCACATGCCATACAGCGCACCAAACAATTAATTTACTGCAAGAGACATTCGAGCAACGAATCATTTCCAGAAATGGACCTGTAAACTGGCCACCTCGTTCGTGCGACTTGACGCCATTAGATTATTTTCTTTGGGGCTATGTTAAGTCGCATGTCTACGCTGATAAACCCGAAACACTTGAGCACTTGGAAGCCAACATTCGGCGCGTGATTGCCGAAATACAGCCTGCAGTACTGGAAAGAGCGTGTGAAAATTGGACCTCTAGATTACGCCATGTACGCGCAAGTCGTGGGGGTCACATGCCCGAAATCATATTTAAATGTTAATGCCAAAAAATTATCTTCAATATAAAAGCAAATTCGTTAATATCAATAAAATATTTTGTGTTTTATTTCAATTCAAAGTTCTCCGCCTCTAAAAAAAACACCCTTCTCTCCTTCAGTAGGAAGTATTTCTGGATTTCTACTGTACCGTGTCAGTCTGTTTGAATTCTAAGAAATTTCAGGCTGATGAAACTTGATTTTACCATCTGTCTAACGAGCCCTAAAATTGTAGGAGCGACTGGCGATTCCACCTCTGAACGGTTAATTTTTTACCATTTCGAGACATGCATTTTTGATCCTTTCCGCGCTAGCTGTGCAATGTACATTTTATGCACGTTTTCTAACCACTCTGTAGAAACCATTCCTGTATTTTGCATATTCTAGCATCTCGCCACTGTTAAAGACCTTCATTCACGGTCTAGGAATTGGCAATGAGTTCAATCCTCTAGCCACACCTTTAGATCTCATCTCATATACATCTGACTTCTACCAAGGTTAATTTGTATGGTACCTGTATATATGTGAAAACGTGATTTATCATATGGCTATTAATAGTTTATACTCATATTGTTTTGTTATAGGATATTCTTTAAAAGGCACTGCGTGATCTGTTTTAGTATTTATTAACAGCTGCGTCAATGTCAACAGGTATTTTTCAGAATTTATAAATTTTATATCTAGTAGCTCAAGTAATCTATTGCATGTTTACTTGTGCTATTAAAATTAAACAAAGTTTTTAGTAGTTGAAAATAATCCTTACTTTTGATAAGTTTTCACCAAGAGTTGGCAGATGTACGACGAATTGCTTCCCATTTTTGCGCTCTTGCATTTTCCCTTTTTTGTAATTTTATGATCTGAAACTCTACTAATAACTCAAAAGGTTCGATACCGTGTCTATAGGGGCGTAGCAACCACCGTTTTAAATGTATCACTGCTTTTAATAAGTTTACCGAAAAAGTCAAGAAATAATCTAAATTCGTTATCTCGATTACAGTGTAAAGGTATCAAAGTAAATTTTATACCTATTTAATAATTAAATCTTGTTGCAAAAAAATTCTATGCCTACATTCAACACCCTCATGGTGTGGGTAGCCCTTAAATTTTCAAAGAGGAACTAGTCTTATCATTTTATATCAATTGAAATTAACATTGAAAACATATTTGGGATGTGTTACATTGCATTCGAAGCTACTTCGAAAGTATTCTTAGTTCTTGAAGTGGATTTTACTTCCTACCCCACTGGCGAGAAAGAATCTATTGTAATCGCGAGATATAGATATTTGGATGTTATTCGACATGTATACTTTATCTGAAGTCAGTTGAAATAGCATAAAAACCTTTGGTCGGCGCGTCCTTTGTAATTTCATGACGTATCATAGGCGTGCGGTATTTTATTTAGAACGATAATAATAATGTTTTTATATCACAATAAATGGATTTTACTATCTTCTTATTTTTTTGATTTGGGATAAACATATATGTACTTATATTGGGAGTTTAATTTATGTTGACTGAAAGTTAAGAAATGGAAAAATTACAGAATTCCAACGTTTGACATAGGCAAATATTTACATAGCAGGTAGGTATATAAAAAGGTATATAAAGACTTACATTATAGATATTTATATATCATCCTCGCCTTCGGAGCTGTCGCTAGAGTCATCTTGTAGAGGAATTACAACGGGATTTACAGGAGGCAAAACACAATATTCATTTTCTTTTTCAATAATATGTCTAGAACACTGCTTCCATAGGTCTGTGGCAGCAATATGAGATACTGCATCTCTTATTGTGGCCAATAGCGATTCACTTAATTGAGGGGTCTGATTATGTTTTCTTACTTTTTTTTTTTAAAGCAGCCCAGACCAACTCAATCGGGTTAAAAATGCAGTAATAGGGAGGTAGACGTAATACTTCATGGCCATTTTGCTGAAGCAGATTGTCAACAACATACTCTTTTTCAAATTTTTGTCTTTCAATAAGATCCAATAATATGGCTTTGGTTGATTTTTGTGGTATTTCCATTCCATTATCCTTCATAAAATCAATAATGTCTTGTTTTTTTGTGCCTGTATTCGGAATTTTGTTTTTCTGTCGGGAATGGTATGGCGCATTGTCCATAATAATCACTGAATTTGGGGAAATGTTTGGTATTAACTGCTGCTCTATCCACTTTTCAAATAAGTCGGAGGTCATGTCCTCATGATAGTCGGCACATGATTCTTTGACATTTTTGGCAGATAACAGCAAGGCATTAGGTATAAATCCATTTTCACTGCCAGCATGGAGAATAATGATTCGTTTTCCACGGTTGCATGGTGCATTTAAAATGCACTTGTTGCTGCCGTCAACCCAGCCGTACTGCACAACATCATGGGTATCATACCACGTTTCATCCAGGTAAATCAGATTTCTTTTCTGCTCTCTATAGATTTTAACTTTGTGCAAAAATTCTTGGCGCAATTCAACGATTCGAGACGACTCCATAATCACCATTCTTTTATCTAATTTTTTGTATTGAAAACCACACAGTTTTACAATACAGTGCAGTGAGTCTAAGCATTTGTAATTATAAAAATCTTCAGGATAATCTTTTAATTTATCCCGTATCATTTCCAACGTGGGCACCAAATTTTTTTTATAAAATCCGTATATTATACGACGAATATCTTCCTGAAAACCCACGTCTATTCTTTTTAATTTTTGCCCTATGCGCTTTCTGTGGAAGGAATGGTTGACTACATCTCCCCTTTTTATAACCCGACAAATGGTAGACCGACTGATTTTTGTCAGGATACAAATTCTGTTTAAAATTTGATTTTCCGAGGAATCTGGATTTTCGTTTTTCAGACAATCATACATATTTAGGATTACTCTTCCTCTGTTCCTCTAAATCTTTATGAAAGAATTCTGCCTGCATAGGTTCATCAACCATCTCCTCGAGGCTTGGAGCATTTTCCCAAGGTCTCCAAAGAGCCATATTTAGGACACACAAGAACAATCAACACAACAATTAAATCAACAAGTAAACTGAGTATTCAAAAGTAAAAAACACACAAACTAATAAAATCTATGAAAAAACACGGACAGACTAAAGAAAACACGTTTATTCACCGCTACACGGCACTGGCTAAACTGTTTCAATTTTCAGTAGCCACCTGCACTTGTTCGGAGCTCTGAAATACACGCTTTCTCATTGGCTATGTCCACGCATAGGCGTGCTTTACTCCACGTGGACCGGTGAAACTGCCTTTGATCTTATATATTTGCTGCGAAATTTGGCGATTTTTGCAGCAACAGAGCGTGTTAAATATAGATATATAAAACGCACCCGGTATTTCACAGTGTTTCAAGTGATTTCAGATAAAGTATACATCTCAATGTATATAATATGGTTCGAATGTTGAATGGATGAACCGCCCACTTGAATGGGGAATGTGTCCGGGCTTTCGTTAGTTCATAATTTGAAATCTGTTGAAAATGATATTTCCGATATTGACGGATTATTTCATGGACACATATTCATAAAATATCCCCAATAAGGGTAATATCTCTTTCAGCAGTTTTGCTGAGAACAAGGTTAAGAATATTAAAATCTAACACTAATTATGACGCACAAAATATATTTAGTTTCAAAAAATAATCATATGCGACAATGGTATAAAAATTGTATTACATGGAAATATAGATAGATTTATTCCAAATTTCTATTGTGTGTTGCAAAATACAGGTGTCTCACTTCATTAAATTGCTTCTTGGTAATTCTGAAACAATACAGAAAACACTCTCGTAATTCATAATTCATAAATAAGAGCCACTCAGTTTGCTCAATGCCCAGTTCTATGCACCTAATTTGTTGGCCTACATGGACAGAATTTTGATTCATAAGCTTAGGGCTTTATGACTGTACTCTATCGATATTACCATATCTAATTTACTACAAAAAAAGTTTATATAACGATGCCAATACAAGGATTATAAAGAGGCTGAATTCAGACATGCAATTTTAAATAATCTAACGAAATACATCATGCAGATATGTCAAGTTCACTGCCTACCTGTATCACTTATGACATGACAGCGTTTTCTGAACTGCTGCATCTCCCAGAATAGATCTCATGTATACCATCACAGCTACTGACAGTGTTGTTTTATATTTTATACTCATTTTTAACGAAATATCTCCGAAAGCATCAGCGTCGATAACCTGGATATTAAGCAAAACAGACGCCATATTTGATATTTTTACATTTAGACGAAGTTAGAAAATCCCGGTAAGCAGCACGTCACGTTATGCCGGTAATGCAGTATTCTCTATTTGGCCTGGAGAGAATGACCTTGGTGATTGACCAAATATTGCTCGAAGATCGGCGAATCACGATCTGGCAACAGGCGGTTGAAATTCCTGAGGCTTTTATAAAAGCTGAGACGGGTAACCCAAAATCGTTGTAGAGGAAAAGCGTAAGACTGCACCACATCAATGCGCATCCTCATGTCTCACAACAAACAGAGGACTTAATCGAGCGATTTGGCTGGGAAATCATTGAACATCCCCCGTAAAGCCCTGACATGGCGTTTCCGAAATAGTCGGAGAACCTAGACGGTCAACGGTTCGAGACGGACGAGGAGTTGTAAGCAGCAGTTACCAAGTTTCTAAAAAGCGATTATGGAGAAAAATAGCTTAAAGACCAATGTTTCCAATAGTGAATAGGTTTTTTGAAATGAAAAATTCCTTATGCCTGAAATGTGGGAACCTTATTTTCGAAACAACCCTCGTACCTTGTATAAATTAGCACCCCTCAGGATTGATCCAAGATAATTGCTCCAATGTTTCTTTGCTGTTCTATCACTCGTTATCTGCCTTCATTCTTTACAACGCTTTTTAACAGAACGCGCGTGCAAATATAGATTATTTATCGTATCATACATAAGTACAATGAAATAAGGTTTCAGCCAATATTTTGACATACAAATATCTTGCTTTATTCCAGCTTAAAGTCTTGCGATCTTGACATACCTCACTTGTTCCCAAATCAAAATACCTATAGAGACACCTGAACCTGATTCAATCTAGTCAGCGTTGTAGTTTCATTCATATGTACATATGTACGACCAATGTGCATAATATGACGCAGTTAAGATGCAAATCGTACAGTGAACATGAATAAACCAATGACCCTTACTTATCTTTTGCATACTGATATTATTGTTTTATTTCAGTGGTGATGTCACAAGACCTGCCTGTCAACCAACAATGCCTCGGGTGCATCTGCGAAGGAATTTCTGCTTGCAATACTTCCAGCACCTGTGATGGTGAGTATCACAGTACCGTATAATTGCCTTTTCCTCTTCATTTATTCTCCAAAAGCGGTTCGCTCAATTCTATGGTCAGTCTTTGAGATACCGTTGTCCAAACACGCTTGTACCGCGTTGTTCCGTCGTCTCTCGCCCTCCTCAGAGAGAGGCGTTGTTATGACAGTCTGCTTTCCAGACGATTGTATGAGCGTTCATTACTATCATTCAGTCCTGTCAAACTAACTACTCACTAGACTGAAAGGAACACATTATCGCAAGCATTTGACAATGTTTCTTATAGAACTTTAATGTCAGTCAGTCTTTTTATGTTTTGAAAGTGAAATTATCTCATCAATTGCAACCTACACACGAATATTCAATCCTGTCATTCTTTCATGTCAGGAAAATTTGTTTTTCCGTCACGAGAGGAATGAACGGCAATCTTTCCGTGAGGATTGTTGACTTGTCAATTCAACTCGTAAAAATTCGTAATGAAGTGACAAAAATTCCTGCTAACTGTCAGATATCCCGGAAGCAAAGACTGAAGAGATTACTCATCAGCGGCTTCTCCCGAGATCTCGCATTGCACACCAACAGAGCTTCAAGGTCATATTAAAGACGTCGAGGTGCGTAAAGCGCCTGGGGAGGATCAAATCACCAATAAGGCGCTGAAGCTGCTTTCACGGAAGTCCTTGACTTATCTCGTGGCTATTAGCAATGCCATGCTACGGACCCAATACCTTTCATCGCCGTGGAAGACTGTGGAAGTTATAATGATTCCAAAGAAGGTGGGTTCGATATTTCCCCAGGACTATCGTCCCATCAGCCTACTGTCTTCTCTGTCTAAGCTCGCTGAAAAGTCAACTCGCGAATTTCTCGTCAGATCACCATGTGACTCCTGCCGTGCAATTTGGATTTCGGTCTGAGCATAGTACGGAGTTAGGCGGTTAGGCTTGTGGAGCGAGTAACCAGGGGCTTGACCCTTGATGAAAGTACTGGCATCTTGCTTCTGCATGTCTCGAAGGCATTTGATAAGGTGTGCACAAGGGCATTCTCTATAAACTAATTCATTTTGGCTCCCAAAACTTTTGAAATCCTTCCTTGAAGTTATGAAGTTTCAAATCAAAATTAATAATTTCTTGTCGACAGTACGGCCCATCAGAACCGGCGTCCCTCAGGGTTCGGTTCTAGGGTCAATCCTTTACTTACTTTTCACGCATCATGTCCCTTACCCTAGCGACTGTGAAGTCTATCTATATGCTGATGACACTGCACTGGTGGCCCAGTCGCGTACCTGGAATCTGGTTCACGACAGGTTACAAAGAGCGGTGGATGAGGTATTGGAATGGGCAGATCGGTGGCTAATCAAAATTAATTAGTCGAAAACGCAGGCTATCTATTGTACTAAAAAACGTAGCGGCGCCCCGCCTGAGGTTTCAGTGAATGGAGCTTGCATAGCATGGGGAAATTCTGCTAAGTATCTCAATTTCACTCTTGACACGGGTATGACCTGACAAAATCACACTGAAGCGTTAAAAACTAAATTCCAAATTACGTTTCGGCAACTATGTAGAACCTTAACCCCCGTAACGTCAAAAACGAGTTTCAGCAATTGTTACTTTTTCCTTTTCGCCTATAGCACCGTCGCCACTGGACTAAAACTACAAAGCTTTGGCATACTAGTAACCCCGTGTGGAAATTTCATAAAAATCCGAGCGGTTATTTCCAAGTTAATGAATGATACAGTTTTTCGTGATGTAGATGTCATATGACCTAAAAAAACATAACATCTCATTTTAGAAATTTTTCTCGATTACAAACTTCCTCGCGAATGACGTGGGAAGTAAAACGGCTTTAAAATCGAGGAGTATCAGCGATCGCGATTATGAGTACCTACAGCCGTGGCCATATGTATTAGGCACTTGTTGATGTGACGCAAGTAGCGCAAATTAACAGAGTTCCGGGAAAGACCTACTTATAGGAAGGTTTTTAAGACACCCGCATGACTGCCCTACTGGTAGGAATATGATTTATTGCTAGGGTGGGGACTGCGCGACGGACTTCTTGTAAGTTGGAATATTCGGTCATTAGCAGGTATTGATCGACCAGCCAAAGATTGCTAGGGACGAAAGGGGGAAATGCGATGAAAAAACCTTACCATTAGACGATTTTATATGGAGTCATAGGCGGAGATCGGAGAGACTTGAATTATTAATTGAATTTATATTTTATTACAACTGGTAGTATTAATATTTTTTTGCGATTCATAATGACGTGATACCAAACATACATTATAAGAAATAAATATACACAAACACTGAATATTGAGAACAAAATAAATATATTTTTTAGGCAACAAGTAATATTCCTATGTACGCATTATGATTGAACAGCAAAACAAATTATGCATTCTTCTAAAATAGAATACAACAAGTCAAAAATATCTGACTGAATAGAAAAATATAGGAAAACAAAAAGTAATTTCTTGATGAAATAACCCATAAACAACACATAGAATTAGACTTTCTACTGAGATACTAAAAGCCACAAACCAATAGTATAATAAATGAATATCTAAAAATTCTAAAAGGTAGCCAATCTAGTATAGTTTCAATCCTGATTAGAGTCATGATCACTGTCTGAGGAACTGTCATTGCTATCACTTTCACCTCCTATGTTGATTATTATTTCTTCCTGTATTTCTTGAATGAGACTGTCTTTTTCCCAATATTCATCTTCAATTTTTATAACATGTCCAATAACCTTTTGCCAGTCACTGGCACTTACTGAAGCGATGGCCTTATTAGAAATTTCATCTAGTTTTTTTATAGTAAATTCGCCGCTTGTATTATGGCTTCTAATGAAAAATTTTACTTGTGCCCAAATCATCTCTATGGGATTAAACTGACACATATAGGGTGGCGTTCGAAGTGGGGTGTGTCCGAAACTTCTTATTAAATTATCTATCTTATAATTTTTCTCATCAGATGGTGGCCTATGTAGACAAGCTATTTCATAAAGCTCCATTTTTTTAGCATTAGGATCATGCTCTATACCTTTTTTGCTCAACCACGTGATGATGTCTCTTTTTAGAGAAGATCTAGTTGGAGGCTTGTCTTCCAAAGCTGAATGGTAAGGTGCATTATCCATTATTATAATACTATTAGGAGGAATGTTAGGAAATAGTTTTTCAGTAAGCCACTTCGTGAAATTTTCTTGGTTCATTTGACCGTGATAATCACCAGTGGCACAGCCAGCCTTGAAAATGAGACAGGCTCCAGGAACAAAACCATCTTGCGAACCCGCATGAACAATTATAAGTCGTCCTGGAAATGAATAAATAGCCTCATTTTAGTGTTATTTTAAGTTTGCCAACACCTTTTTGAATCACTATGTATAAAAAACATATTTTTGAGAAAAAAATACTTGCAAGGGATTATGTATTCAATTAGACAAATTAAATGAGCACTTATTAAGAATATTCCAAAATTGAGAAAAATGTATAATAAGCAAAATCGAGGTGAAAGAAACTTTATTACCTGTAGAACTTATATTGCTCAGGACACCCATAATTTCTTCGCTTTGCCAGCATTTCTTGAAAGTGAGGTCATTATCAACCCAAGTTTCGTCCAAATAAATAATATGCCTTCCTTCTTCCCGGAACTTTTTAATAGACCTAAGATACTTGTATCGCCAATGTAAAATACTGGGTCTTTCCATTAGTAATTTCCTTTTGTTGTGGCATTTACGCCAGTAAAATCCTTTTGCTTTTAAAAGCAGCCTCAACGATTCTTTACCAAATGGAAATTCCATTTCTTCCTTCAGTTTGATTAGAAGTTTACTACAAGTAGGTACCACTTTAAAATCACAGTAAAATTTTTCTATCATTCTCCGAATAATGGAAAAATCGACTCCATCAATTTTTTGGATCACAGAAGGGCGTGATCTCTTTTTTCCGGGAGAAGCTAAAGGCTGTGTGGAGGTTGCATTTTGCCTGTCTTTATCTTCTTTTCTAATTTTACTTATAGTTCGTTCACTAACACCCGTATAATATGCCGCCCTTGCATTTCTAGCTACCAGTGGATAAACGAAAGTATTGTTAGCCGCTTCTGCATCGCAAGCACGTATCACGTTTGCTATTATTTCCCTTGCCTGGCTGTGAATAACTTTCCCATGCTTGAATTCCATTATCACCACTAAACAGTAAATTATATTTTCAAAGTATTTGCCAACTGCCTACGCCTATGGGAGTAGGTTTATAAATGACCGTGCCATCGGCACGTTATTCTAGTTTCAGATAAGATAAGAGTTTTGGACCAATCAGCGACCGGATGTTTACCTGCGGCCTGGGTTTTCCAGCTACATTGCCAAATTCAGCGGAACAATTCTATATCTTAAATATGTTAATATGTATGGACCGCATTTTATGTAGAACATCTGACAACTTCGCAATTTTTTGTCCGCATTCTTTCGGCTTGCAATCTTTCGCTGGTCCAACTATAGTTTTATTTCGTCTCGGCGCGAGTAAACAACTGTCAGCAAAAAAATAATCTTGACGTATAAGGCTAGTAGAATTGTGCAGATGCCTAAGCAAAGAGAATTAACAGTTGGCGAGCGCGCCCAAATAGTGTTATTACAGACACAAGGTGTCACGCAGTGTGAGATTGCCAGAAGAATGAAATGTTCGCGTTGTGCGGTACAAACTACACTTAAACGGTATAATGAGACCAAAGCTTACGAGAATCGAGCAAAAAGCGGCCGAACACGAAGAACCAGTGCGAGGCAGGACCGAATTTTGCAGCGAATGGCACTGCAAGATAGGAAAAAAAGCTCTAAAGCACTCGCCGCCGAATTGCGCGAGGCGCAAGGGATTGTGTTGTCAGCAAGGAGTGTTAGGCGACGGCTCGTGGAAAAGGATTTGCATGGAAGAAAGGCGCGGCGAAAGCCACTGCTGACGGAGAGGCAGAAACAATTGCGTCTTTCTTGGGCAAAAACATACAAGGATTGGACGGCAGAAGACTGGGCTAAGGTGATATGGACGGATGAATCCAATGTAGAGGTATTGTTAAACTAATGTTTCACTAACTTTTTAAGGCAACTGCATATAAAAAATTTAGTGTCTCTCTGCAACAACCTGAAAAAATTGTTTTTAACTTGCTTCTTTTCTTTGTCGCAGTTATTTGGTCAACCTGGGACTCGGTACGTGCGACGAAGACCCGGGGAAGCTTATCGGGAAGAATGTCTTATCCGTACTGTGAAATTTGGAGGAGGCAGTATCATGATTTGGGGGTGCATGTCTGCCAGTGGCGTCGGCGAAGTTTTTTTATGCGAGGGCCGTATGACCTCTAGGCGGTATTTGGACATGCTTGAGGAGGTTTTGGAGCCTTCCATTTTACAGTTAGTGGATACCGAGCAAGGGAATTATTTTTTTCAACAAGATAATGCCCCCTGCCACAAATCCCGCGAAGCGATGCGTTGGTTTGAAGAGAATGGGGTTAACCTGTTATCGTGGCCGCCCCAGTCCCCAGATCTCTCACCAATTGAAAATTTATGGCACATTGTAAAGAGTAAGATTGCACAACATCACTGCGCTTCAAAAACTGCGCTAAAAGAAAAAATTGTTGAAGAATGGAACGCAATTCCTGCAGCTACCTTTCTGAAATTAGTGTCTAGTATGCCACGAAGAGTGAAATTAGTAATAAAAGCTGGAGGGGGCTCCATAAAATATTAATAAAATGTATGCATTTTCTAATAAATTGAGATTCCTATTACTGATATACATTAGTTTTTCTCCAACTTCCATACTTTCCAAATTATTCGTTGAGGTCCTAAGTGCCTAATACATATGGCCACGGCTGTATTTGCAGAACGACTTAACTACGCGATATTATATGAAATAGGGCCACCAAAATTTCAAAAGTGCTCCTATAGCACCCTCGGCAAATATCTTCTCAACACACTGCATGAATTTTCGCCTTAAGGCGGCTCCGACGCAGTGAGTTTCAAGCCATTTACAAGGGTTCAGCTGCTTCAAAACTGCCACTCCATTTTTCAATATTTTTGAATGAAATTCATACAGTATGTTGAGAAGATAATTGCCGAGGGTGCTATAGGAGCACTTTTTGAAATTTTGTTTTTGCACAAGTTTTATGATGGGTTGAAGTGCGTACTTTTTCTGTTCAACTTCGGGATTTTTTTAAAAAGAACCTAGTGAAAAAAACGAAAAAGTGGCTCTATAGCACCCTGTGGGGTTTTGTTTTCAGCACTCTGTGAAAATTTCATCCAAAAATATCAGAAAATAAAGCGTCAATTTCGAAGCGCGCAAACCTCTACAAATCGTATTTTGGACAAATTTTGTCTACTGTTTCGTGCTGCCAAACCAAGCGTTGCGGCGCAATGTGCGGACTAAGAAAGGACGTATTCAGATAATTTGGTGGCCCTATTTCATATAATATCGCGTAGATAAGTCGTTCTGCGATCGCTGATACTCCTCGATTTTAAAGCCATTTTTCTTCCCACGCCATTGGCGAGGAAGTACTGTCATTTCTAAAATGAGATGTTATGTTTTTTTAAGTCGTATCACTCATCATCAACTTGGAAATTACCGCTCCGATTTTTATGAAATTTCCACACTGCCAAAGCTTTGTAGTTCTACTCCAGTGGCAAAAAAGAAAAAGTAACAATTGCTGCAACTCCGTTTTTGACGTTTCAGGGGTTCCTAATCATTAACATAAAAAAATTGTACTGCTTAAAAAGGGGGGGTTGAAATCAGTGAAACACGTTCTATTATTAAGAAGCTTTTGATCCCAGTCATTACAGGAAATTTAAGTAACGAAAATCCGACGAATACTGTGCTCACGATTTGAAAAGATCGGAATCTGCTCTATAGGTTTAACACCAAGAGCCAACAGATCTACAACTACCGACAGTAGGGAAGAATAAATTCACATATCACACCAGTCAAGTATAGGGGAATTTAGCGTGGAACTTTAAAATTATCGATATGTCAAGGAAATATGTTCTTGAAAATGATAATTTGGTAGATTTTATACCTGCATTTTCATTTGAATTTCATGACCCGTGAAATGTACCAATTTCGCCGTTACCTTTAATTTGTGTTCTGCAGTTTGTGATGTTTTTCTGGATATAAGCAGGACATAATTGCCTAGGGTGCTATCAGAGCTTTTTACAAAATTTTGTATTTGCGCAAGAATTATGGTGGGTTGAAATGCTTACTATTTGTGCTCAACTTTTTGATATTTTAAAAAGATCTTTGTCTTTAGCACGCTGCAAGAGTTTCATTTGGAGATAATAAAAATTAAATGTAAGCTGTGAAGTGAAAATCGGTTTTTGGGCGAAATTCATCTACTGCTTCAACCTGCCAGTCCAGGTGCGTTCCTACTAAGAAAAAATGTATTCAAATAATTGTATATCTTTCCTAAAATAAATTCAAGAACTCAAATTCAAATTCATTTATTCATGTCAATAAACACAATTATGTTTACAAGGGTCATGTGGTAGATGGTAATAATTGAACGAGGGTCATAAAAATATCTTATGCAGTCAAAAGAAGAGGAAACAGTTAGGTAGTTTTTGCAAAGCAAAAAATAGGTAGGCTTATACCTGGATTAAGTACATGCCTTGTCTACTGTAATAGGTAGATGGAGGTGATACTGCCAGAAATAGATGTGTGCGATCAATAAACAAACCACAAGATTGAACTGCAGTGTCCAATGATTTTTGTATTGCCTTTTCTTTATTGCCTTACTAGAAAACTCTGTTGGGTATATGATGGAGTTTACTATAACTTTACAGCATGTTGTCAGCCTTCTTATACAAACTTCACCACATCGAGACCCTGTCAACCTTATCCTCCTTTGAAGACGCCACGAAGTACAGTCCTGTGATTTGGTGATTTGTTCAATCTGCAAAATCTTGTCGTCACTTTTTTTAAGTTTCCATAAAAATTTTCGCTTAGTAACCTACAAATCAATGTAGTTAATCTCAGGTTTTTGACTGAATTCGCCATAAAACTATTCATTTTCTTTGGAATTGCTATCCGAATTGTTAGTTATTTTTGTATCAGATTTTTTTGGCCAGAGTTTCTTTTCAAGATTCTTGCGTTTGAGTCTTTGTTCCATCTTAGCGATAAGCGAGGTTGGACTGAGCTTACAACGCAAATGTATTTAGACCACATAGACAGGCCGCTGGGTACTGTGGTTCACTACAGCTGCAGCACATCTTCCTTGGTATGACCTCTTCTTGCAATAATTTATTCGCTTACCCCAATGTATTTTGCGATTATGGAGTTGAACTGCTCCACATAATTGTTGTCCTCATCATGAATTAAACTCACTGCATTCGTAATTGAAATTATCGCATATGACCTTTTATTGTCCATTATCAACCTTGATAAAAAAGGTACTCAAGAACAATCACACCAACAAGAGTACAGCACAACAATTCAACAACACAAGATCGACGAACAGTAACTAGGGTAGAACAATACTAAATGATCACTTGCTGAGTACCAAAATAGGAAACGATTTACAGGCTAGATCGCTAATCGAAATCCGACTCTGTTATTATAAAAATTTCTTTTAAAGTAGCGCTGACAACCGTCTAAGACCTGCCCACCCTCGTTTCCTTTTCACCCCCCCGTTACCTCAGCAGATGGTACTCGTGATTGTAGGAGCCCCGTTAATCCCCAAGTACTGCCGACTACCCGAAGCAACTGCCGCAAGGTCGCTACCAACTTCTTGTACGAGCAGATAAAGTCGTCTGTTAGTGTAAAAATGTGTCTGTTTAATTTTTTTTTCATTAATTCTTTGATATAATTATTTTAATTTTTTGCAACAATCACATTTGTTGGCTTGTTAATTTGATGCAAAAACGGCGAAATAAGATCCGTACGGAAAGGTAGTCCACAATTATTCTAATTGTCATTCATCCCTGTCGGGCTTCAATGACGGAAATACTTTAGGCGGTATTTTATCATTTCGTTCACCACTCAGTGGCACCCATTTCCTGGAAATTTCTTTTACCCACAGGAAAAAACGCCTGAGTGGGCAACTAGAAACTGTATGAACATATAAACAGATACTGAGTTTCAAACGTACAATTTTGATGATCTTTTAGGTGATGTATGTGGTCCATTCAAAATCACGTGGGCATACTGGGCAGACGCTGGCAAACCAACAGTTGGCGGGGAATCCCCTGAAGCTGCTACGGCTTACGCTCATTGTGCTTCAGATACGTACTGCTCTGCTCTTGCTGTGCAAGGATACATGTCCAAGTTCCAACAGGTGAGTTCTAAATTTTAGCGAGTAACAGAAACGTCTCAAAGTCATTCGCAAAAGATACATGTCGATACGTGTAACTTTAGGAAATGCTCGGTAAGGATTCCTATCATATCAGGGTAGCAAATTTGTAACATGACATGCTGATGCAGCTACAGGAGTAAACAATCACAGACCCACTTAGCCATTCAGCAGCCAGGGTACCAAAGCAGAGGACAGAACAGTTTTTTGCAGCCCTCCACAAGGACTGGAGGTGGAATTTCTCCGACTTTAGCACCCATAAACGAGAATTTATAAAGCCTCGAGGGCAGGCCACATCTGATGGTAGCTGCCTTACGACGATGGGATGCTCACACAATTAAAATGATATCGCTCCAGATATCTGGCACAAATAAATTAATATCACCCTCTTTTGAATAGCCCAATGAAAACTGACTTAGGCGAAGCAGACGGGCATGATGTGAACTTTTTGAAAAATAAATTAACTTTGTAATGTTAAGCATGAAAGATAAATAAATTTTGATTTATTGATTCGTGAAAACGGGCTAATGTCAAAAAATCTGAAACACGACTTCTGGCGGATTGTTCCAAAGCTTTGATACCCTTGCAAAATAGAATGTGGGTGTATAGACCAGCTGTGAGTGTAGAGCCCTAGCCCTACTGCTTTTCGTTAGATGCAGAAACCTAAAGACTCCGTCCATCATTTCAGGCCATATCCTATTTGTGTTTTGCTCGGAGTACAAATTTTGTATGGTGTAAGCTACTTTTAGCTTAATTCTTTTTATTGAATTTTGAGTTACCTCTGCATAGTACCTTTTTAGCGAGGAATTTATACAATAAAATAAAGAATCATTTAAGAAATCATTCTAATATCAAATTGCCTTTTTGGTAAATAAATTCAAAATTAAAGATTTTTCTCTCTCGGTAGCTACATTTAACAGGAACCTTAAAAGTGTAGATATCATAGAAAACATATCTCTTGATCCCCCTTTTCTCTTCTTCTCTTTCCCCTCGCTTCCTCTTCTCACTCTAAATTTCCATTTCTCTACTTACTATACTTCGCTATATTTCTAAATATCAAAACATTATTAATTACCAATGTCTTACTAGCCATTTGTATTACTATAGAATTGTTTAAATTTGTTTGTTTTTTTTTGCTCTAGCAGTTGCTTCTTTAAGGGGCAAGCTGATGTTGCCCTTTATTCTCTTAAGGCTTTTTTATGTTTCTAAACTTTGTATACAGAGTGTTTCAGTTTATTGTTGCATAAGTTTAAGATTCGATAGAACTTTTAAAATTAATGCATAAAGTCTATATAAACATATGTCGAAAAATGCGTGGCTTCCGAAATACAGGGTGTTTAAATTTACTTTATAAAATAGTTAGTTAAATATTTCGAACAATATTTGATATATAACAGTGAAAATTGGTATACAAGGGTTTTTTGGTACGACAAAACGAACTATGGTCATAGTTTTACTGTAGCCGCTAGAGGGCGCTCTCTACTGTACTTGTAGTGTATTAAAATGCAATTTTTTGCTTTTTGAATAAAAAAACTGATTCGTCGCACTTTTCAACATAAAAATGCTCTCCTGTGAGTTTTCGTTATAGTTAGCCGTTTTTGAGATATTTCGATTTCTAAGGTTCGATGCATTTTTAATTATTTATGATAAAATAACGTTAAAAAGTCAGTATCTCGATAATTTTTAGACGTAGGCTGTGCCTGCAAATATTTTTGAAATTGAAAGCAGAATAAGGTTAAACGTCAATTAGTTGACAGTTAGTTTTGTTGTCTGTTGAAACATGAAACGTTTTTTTGCAATTGTGAATGCACGAGATTTAGTTTCTTTACCTGTTTTTTTTTGTAAGTTTTATAAAAATGCGATTTTTGTTCTCCAATCAAGAGTTAGCGGATATTCATTTTGTGTATGGCTTTGTAAATGGAAACGCAGCAGAAGCAGCCAGAGAATACGCACGAAGATTTCCAAACAGACGACATCCAACTCGCTCAGTATTTGTAAGAGTGCATCGCCAAATAATTGAAAATGGTTTTGGAAATCTCCAAAGGGATCAAAACATAAATGTTCGTCAGCGCAAATTTACCCGTATGATTCTGCGTGAGTTTGATAGAGATCCGACCACAAGTGTTAGGAGAGTTTCTGGTGCCTTGGGAATTTCAGCAAGCCATGTTCACCGTGTTCTTAGAAATGACCATAGACGTCCTTACCATTTGCAACCTGTGCAAGGACTACAGCCAGAGGACGGAGAACGAAGAATCACATTTTGTCAGTGGATTCTTGATAGAACTGATAATAATAATGAGTTTTTAAGTAACGTTTTATGGACCGATGACTCATGCTTCACTAGACGTGGAGTGGTAAATTTTCATAATCAACATATTTGGTCGCATGAAAATCCGCATGCAGTTCGGGAAAGAAATTTTCAGCATGAATTTAGTGTGAACGTGTGGATTGGTATCTACCGTAATCGACTATTTTGACCCTACCATTTGCCTGCAAGGTTAAATGCTGCAACCTTCTTGGAATTTTTAAAGGCTGAACATGTGAATTGTGTATTGAACAATTGAATTTACATTTCGAGCAACTACTTTAGATTTTGTATGTTTGTCCTAACTATCCAATAGCATTTTAGTTGTAAATAATTAATTTAGTTTGTTAAAAATAATATTGGAAAATTAAACAAATTAATATTCTCTTTTTTGTGTTTATTTGGAGTTAGGAATTATCGCTGTGTTTAAAAACACAATCTAAATCGAAATATCTCAAAAACGGCTAACTATAACGAAAACTCACAGGAGAGCTTTTTTATGCAGAAAAGTGCAAAAATCAGTTTTTTTACTCAACAAGCAAAAAATTGCGCTAAGAAAAAATTTTCGGTCATTTAAATACACTACAGGTACAGTAGAGAGCGCCGTCTAGCGGCTACAGTAAAACTATGCCCATGGTTCGTTTTGTCGTACCAAAAAACCCTTGTATACCAATTTCCACTGTTATACATCAAATATTGTTCGAAATATTTAACTAACTATTTTAGAAAGTAAATTTAAACACCCTGTATTTCGGAAGCCACGCATTTTTCGACCTATGTTTATATGGACTTTATGCATTAATTTTAAAAGTTCTATCGAATCTTAAAGTTATGCAACAGTAAACTGAAACACCCTGTATACTGTTTAATGAGGACAATAAATGTTATTATTATTATTATTTAACAAATCGGTATCAGAGGTATCAATTCTGTAACAAAACCCCATTTTACTATTTAAAGTCTAATTTATAACTTTCACACTAATTTATCAGCAACTAATTTATTATTACAAATTTATTACCATGTCGACTGGACTATGGTGATTTCCCCTGTGAGCTCATCCGACGATTTCCTCCTCCCTGCCACTGCCCTCCGTTCATCTATTTATGTTCGAATCGACGATTCCAGAAGCGTTCTAGACAGAATTCGAGTCTTAATTCGAATCCTGTAGGCAGTGGTCGCGTAATTCTGGTGGCCTGAGCGTGGATGGTGTCTTTAGTTACTAGGGCATTACGATGCTATCCAAGAATCACAGAATAATGTCGTACAGCCAATTTATAATAATAAGCTGGAAAGTGTCCTTATATTCTGATAAAACAATAATTTGTCTTCCTTTTAGGATTGCAACGGAGACGGCAAGATAGACTGTGACGATTTCGCCGCAATCCACAAATTCGGAGGCTATGGTTGTAAGGGACAGACTCTTCCGGAACCGTTTTCAAGCCGGTACCACCAGTGCAAACAGATCGTTGGGCAGCTTAGACCTTAACGATTTTTACTAGATACGCTACTACTATTTATTTGTTAGTCCTTGTTATATACACTAGTATATTCTGAACTGCTAATTCGTAATAATAATAATTTGTAATGTGATGAAAGATATTAAATGCTTAATGTGATATAAAATGAAAACTATAATTATTCAAGATGATACTAAAAATGTATTTGTACATCAACATTAAAGTGTTATTCTTAAACTTCTCAGAAGTCTTATTATTCAACTTCAGATTGAACATATCTCCAAAAGTGATGCAAATATAACGTTCATCTTTCCAAATCTTTATAACATTTACAAGTAAACGATAATTAAATTGAAATTTATAAACATATGCTATATTTCCTATATACATTTAAGATTTTTCAATACATATAAGACACAGCAAAATTCATAACTATGCAGATGATACACAAATATACTGCAACTTGGTGGTTCCTCTTTTTAATCTAATTAACAACGATCTGGACTTTTCAATATGCACTAAATGCCAATAAATCTAAAATAATGTTTTTTGGCTCAAGAAACAAGCGCCATATAGCAGAAAACCTTTGTCAATTAGCAATTAATAAAATCCCCAATTCCCAAAGTAACCATTAACAAACATTCAGGGTTATGGTTGGACAATGAATTAAAATTTGATTTCCATACTAAATAATTATGTTCAAAATCATAGTATTCTCAAACAATTAGATCCTCAAAGAATTATATTAAATAGTAAAACGAAAATGCTATTGTGTGATGCTCTTATAATTTCAAGGGTTTCATGCGTTCACTGCGCAAGTGTATATGGCCCAGCTATAATAAAAAGTGACAAAGACATGTTACAATGGCAACAAAATTATTGTTACCGTTTTTTTCTATATACAGGGTCTCCGCAAAGTTGGGGTTTTCCTTTTCAGAAACAACTACCCTTGAAATAACAAAGGTAATGTGTAGTGAAACGAGGGCGACCAAGTAAAAAAAAATAAAGGAAAAAGTACTCACTCTTCAGTTGACGAGAAGGGCTAAGTACGTCTCTGCCCGAAATCATACCGCTCCAACAGAAAATGAAATCAGCTGATGCGCTACCGAGCAGACGCAGGCAAACAAGCAAGGCAAAATGTTGCGTAATGACCAAACATGAGTGTTGCGAAAGTTATTCACCCCATTACGGCGTGAACGTAGATTCGTCTGTCACCAATATGCACTTCAAAAAGTCCGGATTATTGTCATGTTGATGCAACAACCACTCACAAAACCGCACTCTTGCTGGAAAATCGTCAGATTGAAGGGCTTGTACACGTTGGACGTGAAACGGATACAGCCCCTATTCACGCAGCGTTTGCCACACTTTAGTTTTTGATACTTGCACTTCTGTAGCCACGCCTCTAGTGCTTGTTGTTTTTTGAAACGCAATCGATTATATGGGTTCGTTTACCTCTACACGAGTGACCGTAACCGTCGGTTGAAGGTTGCATACTGACCTGACACATTGACCCCGACCCAGTTCTGCCGTCGGGTTGAGACCTTGTACCAATCGGTGATGTCCCGGGTCGCGGCTACAGGACGGTATTCAGATATTTTTGATGCTGCAGAGCCCTTTATCTCGGTTCCCTTAAGACATTGCTGTATATGGTACTAAGAAAAATTGCTTATGTTTTCAAGATCTACACGTCGTGTAAAGGAAAACCCCAACTTTGCGGACACCCTGTATAAGCCATGTGTACAAAGATAATTGTAAAATCAACTCAACAAATGTGAAAACATCAATAACTTGGCCACCAGAAGTCGACAATTATTATTAGTTATACCTAAGCAATTTACGTCCCTCTACAAAAATAACTTCTCTTATACCGCTGCCAAGTTATACAATAATCTTCCGTATGAATTTCGACATTATACTCTGAATAATTTTAAAAATAAGCTGGAGTCGTGGTTACTCAGCAGTACATAATCACTCCCTCACCACTCTGCCACCCTATCTACCTTCATAGCCTTGAAATAAATTGATCACATACGATACCTTCATCTAGTTTCACAAAAAACATATAAATCTATGGTAATAGATCAATGATCACCTTATTATTCTTTTTTGAACCGTTCAAATTTCATATTAGGATGTACGTTGAAAAATACCATCATGGTAACACTCAACCGATTCGGTTCTCAAAATTCTGGTCACTTATCAATGCCTATTGTTATCAATGTTGGACATACTGTATAGAATAATCAAATAAAGACAATTTATTATTATTATTATTTAGACTATTTCTATAATCTCGACACACCTAAAATGCTATTATTATTATGATAATAATAATCTTCATTATATTGATAGGGAATTAGATAAGAATTACGAGGGATGGGATGTCTTTTAAGCTTTACATATAGAAACATAGTAGGCTGCGCGGATCGAACGTCAGTACTGAATCTTAACCTCACTCTTTAGTAAACTTAAATTCAAAGTTTCACAACAATACGTGCAGTGTTCTCACTACAGTGAATTTTTAAGTGTCACCAAGTCATTAGAAAAATGGAACTCAACCGAGAACATTTTCGCGCCATAGTTTATTACAACTTTCAGATACAATTATCGCAACAAAAATGCCTTGCTGAGTTACTGTTTGCGGCAACGTCGCGCCACATCAGTCGACAATTTCCCGTTGGTATGGAGAACTCAAACGTGGACGGGTAAGTCTTAGTGACGATTCCAAAAACCCAAAAACGGCAGTCACCCTGGAAAACGTCGATGCTGCGCGCAAACTCATCATTGAACATAGACATGTGACATATCGCGAGATTGAAGCGTCCTTGAAGATCTCAAAGACCTCAATTCAAAAAATTTTACATGAAGAATTAGGAGTAAGAAAATTAGTTTCTCGTTGGTTACCCCACCTGTTGACTGAAGAGCAGAAAGCAGCCAGGGTTAATTGGTGTCAAAAAACGCTTGACCGTTTCAATTCCGCAAACTCAAAAAATGTGTACAGCATTGTTAGTGGTGATGAATCGTGGATTTACTGTTATGAACCAGAAAATAAACGACAGTCGGCTGTTTGGATGTTCCAAGGAGAAGAAAAGCCTACAAAAGTCATCCGTTCTCGAAGTGTTTCGAAAAAGATGGTCGCGACATTTGTGTCAAAAGCGGGTCATATTGCAATAATTCCTCTTAACGAGCAAAGAACTGTTACTGCGGATTGGTATACCGCCAATTGTTTGCCAAAAGTCATCACCGAGTTTCGAAAAATCAACCCCGAAAGAAGAATCATCCTCCACCAAGACAATGCAAGCTTGCACACAGCCCAAAAAACGAGGCAGTATTTAACGGAAGAATACGTGGAATTATTGGACCATCCTCCATATAGTCCCGATCTAAGTCCTAACGATTTCTTTACTTTCCCGAAAATTAAAAACAGACTGCGTGGTCAAAGGTTCCAGTTACCAGAAGAAGCAGTCGACACATTCAAAAATGCCGTTTTGGATCTGCCAGCAAACGAGTGGAATAAGTGCTTCGAGCCCATGCAGATGTGTATTAATCTTCGTGGAGAATACTTCGAAAAACAATAAAGTCATATAAAACTACCTACCGCGTTGTTTTATTTCCATATGCAAAACTTAAAAGACATCCTATAACATCTTAAATGTGGCTCAAATTACATTTCTTAAATACGTACCAAGATTTTTGGCATTAAAACTGCGATTTCTTCACAAATATTGTTTTTAAGTAGGAGCTGTTTCTGCACTGATTCAGGAACACATTGAAATATCCGAGAGAGAAAAGCCAATTGCGGTTAAATCCGACGCCGAAGCTAATTTAGATTGGTTCTTTGTAAAATAACTTGTCCCTCAAGAATGCTTTCTGATTAGTCTATATTGATCCGTGGATTTGTGATAAAATCAGGCCTAAGTGAACTTAGGCACCAGATTGCCTTTTCTATTTCGTTTCTTGGCTAAACTTTTCCATAATATCTTCAAAATGCCCTCACGGAATGTTAATATTTTTTATTAATATCATGATTCTACGGTAGATGGACTTAAGGTCTATGAGCTGACAATAGTCAAATAGAGAATAGATTAAAGTCTAGTGTATATAACAGTATAAGAATGAGACAATGTTTTTTGCACGTTATGTAAGAGACTTTCGCAACTTAAATTCTGGCTCTCCGCCAAGACACATCAAGAAATTGAAAAACCTACCACGTCTCATCGTTGGTCTTCTGACTTCTGAAATACGAAGTCTATCTAAAAAACCGCAAAAGAACGTATGTCTTGCTATACAAACTATAGTGTCAGGTAGCAAGCTCGCAATAGGTACTACAAACATCCCTAACCAGAAATATGGCGATGTGAACATCATCAGGCAAATATGGATCATACCTGAGCTACCTGGTATAATGTACCAGCAGAAGCTGTGTAGTGTTATGAAGACAAACCAGCTACCAATCGAACCCCACATTGCCAGCTGGGTGAAACTTGTCCAAGAATCAGTTATTAGTCCTGATTGTAAACTAACAACGACGACTAGGTAAGTATAAACAAAGCAACCAGGAAGGAGATGGTAGTTGATATTACTTGGCGTTGACCACAAGGTGTCATGTTGTACCATACCCATAGTTAGATAGTACAACAGTAAAGACTGAACGAGGCTGATGAAGATCCAATATCCAAATCTAGTTACACAAAACGTCTTCCCATTTTGGGAGTAAGCATAAGATATAGGACGGGCAAGCATTTGGTCTGCACTACATGGTCTGTCAAATAAGCCCACAACTATAGGTTGAGCAGCTGTGAACACGCAATTGTAAAGTTCGATCAACCATTCCTGAAACATATTTTCGCCTGAGTACTCATCGGTAATTGTGAACCAGAGTTGCACTAAGCTGAAGATCAAGTTCTTGTAGAAGTAGAAGAGAATGACTTTGCAAATCCTTAGGTAGCTCCAAGATCCATGTACGAAGAGCAGTCTCTTCAAGTAGCTGAACTGAGCTATGGTGTAGTCGGAGGCGGCCGCTGCCAGTCTACCTTCGGTGCCAGGGATTCCTATGCCTACGTGAGCTTTTCGAATCATTGCCACGTCGTTTGCACCGTCACCTAAGTGAAAATTAGAATTGGGATAACATTAATGAAAGTACAATTATTCAGTTTTTAACGTGCCAAAATCAAGTAACCTTTCTTCAACTATTTTCATCACTTAGTAGTAATTTGAATTTCTCTTTATTAATGGTAGAGTGCC